TGACCTCTCCTTACCCCCCTCAAAGGATCCCCTCTACCTCAAGGTGCTCTTGCTGCTGCTGCTGCTGCTGCTGTTGCTGCTGCTGCTGCTGCTGCTGCTGCTGCTCATGCTGCAGTAGCTGCTCTTCCAGTAGCTGCTTTTGCTGCTGTCGCTGCTCTTGCTGCAGTTGCTGCTGCTGCTGCTGTTGTTGTTGCTGCTGCTCATGCTGCAGTAGCTGCTCTTCCGGTAGCTGCTCTTGCTGCAGTTGGTGCTGCTGCTGTTGTTGGTGCTGCTGCTGTAGTATCTGCTCTTGCTGCAGTATCTGTTGCTGCTGCAGCAGTATCTGTTGTATATTCTTCTGTATTTTGTGTGTATAGTGTTACGGTGTCTCCTCAGGTTTCCTGCATCACATGCAAGGAGACAGTATGGGGCCGTTCTCTTGCTTTCTTTGTTCGTCCCTCTTCTTTTGTAGCTGTTGGTGCATGCAGCTTGCTGCTGGAGGGCAGCAGCAGCAACGGCGGAGACACCTGCGATGTCTCCTTAGCGCTGCAGAGTCTCCTGGGTGGGGGCCCCGGGGCCCCTGTCTCCATTCATATCACCCAAATAGAACCAATTGATCTATGGGGCCCCCCTGCCCTCACAGTAGAACCCTCTACCCTCATCTTTAACAAAGATGAACTCGGGGTCTCCCGCTCGCTGCGTATAAAAGTAAGATAAATAAAAAGAAAAAAAAAGAAAAAAAAAGAGAGATATATATGCATGCATACATGCATGCATGCATGTTTGTTTGTCTCTTTTTTTATTTGTTTGTTCATTTAGTTTTGTTTTTTTTTCTTTCTTTGTTTGCTTTCTTGCTTAGTTTTCTATGTTTTTTTTATTATTTGTTTATTATTATTTGTTTGTTTGTTTTCTTCTTTCTTTTGGTTGTTTTCTTACTTGTTCGTTTGTTTGTATAACAATATATTATTTTATTTATTTATCTATCAACTATTTATTTATTTATTTATATGTTGTTTCTGCTGCTGCTGCGATTGCTGCTGCTGCTATTGCTGCTGCTGCTGCTGCTATTGCTGCTGCTATTGCTGCTGTTGCTGCTGTTGCAACTGCTGCTGCTGCTGCTGCTGCTGCTGTTGCTGCTGCTGCTGCTGCTGCTGCTA